TGTTTTGCTTCAACTTTCAGGTTGGTTGTAGGCGCTCCGCGGGCCAACGATTTCAATGCCAACGCCACCAGCGAGGCACGGCCAGGGGCGGTGTATGTGTGCGACGCACTCGGAGAAAAATCCTGCGAACCTCTGCTCCCTGATGGGACAGGTAATTGGCCATGTTTGTTTCTCTTTTGCAGTCAAAGCAGCGCCCTTCGGAGAAACAGAGTATTCTAGTATTCCGTTTGGCGTTTGTTACGGCCGAATGGGCGTGGCTCGCGCGTTGTATAAATTCTATTACTCTGTGTTCCATGACCAAAAGCCAATCAATTAAAAAAAGAAATCACGATATGTAACGAAAACGAATTGACAAACTTTGGAAACACGTTGCTTTCTGTATCGGTTACTTCATAACAATGGAAGCTGTTGAAATTTTATTGCATTTAGCATAACTCTTGAAAGTTAATGTTATTTCAATAAGAAGCGAGTAAATAGGTCACAAATAAGGCGGCAAAATATTATTATTTTCCCCTAATATAATACAGATAAACTAAAATACAACAATATAGAAATAAGATCTGAAGACCAGGGACTTACAGACGCCTTGCGTCGATTAATAATGATATTATGAATAATTGCGGTTAAGACGCAACATTTTTTTTTCAAAATTACAAACAACACCATCACGCCACTATCAAGCACCTCTCATGTTTTACTGCAAAAAACATGGCGACGTCAAGCGTCGACCAAGAGCGCTGAAACCATGGAGTCAGCCACTCTATGTAGTATATTCTAGCTCGTTTGATGAATGTCACACGTGTAAATGCTTCCGTGGCCGGAGTTAGTAGCTATTTGGCTGTCCGTCCGTGCTAAAAACTATTCATTTTTGATCCTTCTATTTGACCTAAAAGTTTTAACGTGTATTCTGAGGTCTAAAATGCACATGTGCATGTGATATGAACAAATTAAATTGTACACTATTCATTTTTGTTATGTAGTGTTGGTGTATACCATGCGCTAAGCACAAAGATAGGCACTAAGAATGTGTGTTCATCTCATTTGTCCAGATTATAATATGAAACATTACCTAACATCATTTTTACCTCTCTTTTTTATTTTACTTTTTCCTAATTGAGAAAAGAGAGAGTGTGTGGATGAGAGAGGGAGAGAGAGACAGAGACAAAGAGAGAGAGAGAGAGAGTAAGAGAAAGAGAGGAGGTAAGAGAGAAATCGGGAAATTAAGGGAATGTGTACCGTTTCAGTTTTTTCTCCTTCTAAAATATTTTGCAGTATTTGCACTTGCTTATTATTCTGTAATTTAACCCTCAAAAACATGTATTAATCATTCACTATGTAACATCTGAACTTCGACATACAAATATCATTTCAATGACACATGAGAAATTTGTTTCCAGTTTTTCAGAATAAAACTTAACAATGTTCATAAACCGTAAGTCAGTAATGTATTCTGGATACTTGTATTCTGGATATCAATTACAGAACTACTTACATGCCATTTATAGTCGTGCGGAAATCATGTCTGCAACCACATCCTGCAACAGATAAGTTTCCGTTAGTAAACGAGTCGCCGACCTTCCGTTGCTGAGACTTTCAATTAGTATTTCAGCTAGGACATTGCTCTATTTGCCTTTTTTATTTCTTCATATTAAATAAAGGTCATTTACCCAAAGTCCTTTCTGAGTAGCAAGGGCAGATCTAGATTGAAATTCAGGGAGTGGGAAATCTCAATCCAACCTTTCTGTCTCTTTACTTTTTTTACATACCAAAATAATTTAAAAGATCGTCAGTTTGATAAAAAATAAGAACTTTTATTAATATACTCCGTAGAAATTAGTGGAATAGATATGTGATTTATTGTTTTGAATAAATTGAAAATAATTATTTTAAAAAGCATAAAAGCATAATCCCGAAAAAATTGAACTTTGGAAATTTTCGAAAAAACTATGTAGATGAGTTTAATGAAAATGGGACCTGGTTTTGCACCATTCTTTTAAGTGTCCTGTACGCTATTCGAGGTAAAGTTCAACCATTTTTGAGAAAATTTGTAAAATGTTCTTGAGTCTTCATGTAAAGTACACCCAAAAAACCAAAACTCTTTTCAACCTCAGAGGGCTTCGAGTTGCTTTAAATCAATCAAGAAGTATCAACTTTGGAGGAAATCGGTTGAACGGTTATGGTGTTTACGTCGACCACAGACTGTCGGACAGACGGACGGACGGACGGACGGACGGTCAGATGTTTTGCCGTCAATTAATTTTTCGATATCAAGATCCCACAAAACATAGACACACGTTAGAGGAAGTAATTCACTATATGTACGATCAAGATTTATCCACCTTTTCGGTACCAGGACTGGGCAATAAGTTTTTTTTCTATTGAAAATTCTCCATTTACTTCATTAATTCACCATTCACCATTTACGGACCTCGTAACTCAGTGAAGTCGCTTGCCTTTCACCAAGGATGCCCGCGTTTGATTCCCGGATAATCTCATGTGAAATTTGTTGTCCAACGAAACGAAATTGCCTACTTCAACAGGGCTACTCCAACCCTAAACCCTACCCCTGTCCTAATTCCTTCTCCATTCTGGCCGTTGGGTGTTGACGCAAGAAGAGACGCGTATGCGAAGATACTACCTGGTGGTCCTCTTGACAACTGACTGACGAGACGAGTCATAAATAATGAATATTAATGGAGGGTTACTCTCAAGAAGCGCCCAATGCTCAACCAGGGGCTTAGAGACACCTTGTGCCAATAAATAATGATGATATGAATAATTACGAATAAGACGCAAAAATTGCTTTTTAGTACTTACGCATAATTACAATACTATCTCTTCTTGTAGAATAAGGCCCAGAAATTAAAATACGGCAAACGAAATTCTTTTATTGTATTTAAGGCAATGACTAACAATGTTGGAGGTTTATATTGAGCTGTTGCTTCTAAAATAGAGAAGAAAAAAACCTTATTCTAAGGTTTTCTTCACGACTTCAGTAAAAACTCCACGACTTCAGCATTCCCAAACTAATATTCATCTACTCTCTCTCTCCCTTTCTCTCTCCCCCTCCCTCCCTCTCTTCCCCTCTCTCCCCCTCTGTCACTCTCCTC